ACTCATTCTTGGAAAAGGCTGACCTTTTTTTGCTGAAACTTTTTTTTTTTTAAATCAGCCTGGGGCAGTCAGACTGCATGAGAAAATGTCAGTCCAAACAGTTAGTTTGGCAAAGATCTGAGCAAGTGAAAATATGGTTGCATAATGTGGACTGTTAGGCAGCCTTAACTACAGATGTCATTAGCAGTGCTGCTAAATAATTATTAATAATAAAAGTGCACAGGAAATTCAAAGTCATGATGCTGCATTTCAGTAACGATTGGAGTTTTGCTGCTAATTAGAGGAATAAAAGGTCTTCCTAGAACTTTTATGGATCTAAAAACAGCTTTTGTTTTTGGTTAAAAACTGGGACAAAAGATTGAATTAATTCTTGTTCAATCAGAGCTGGGTGCTTCATTCCTAATAGCAAGCTTGTCACTCTAACAAAAAATATAGGATACCTCAGAGATGCCAGTTGCATTTTTAATGAAATGACAGTGTCCTGCTGGATGGGCAATTATTTTTATCACACACAAAACTGAAATCCTTTGACCAGTTGGCATATTATAGCTATAGCTGCATATTATACCTGACCTGGATGGTCTGCTACGTTCCACAACCTAATGACATACTTACAGCTCACTCTATTAGCCTCATTTAGCACAGACACTCCAATTGACCATTTCCCCTTATTTTTTCCTTCTTTCCCCCTCCCCATTCCCTCTCTTTCTTTGCTATTTATTTGTATCCTGGATTCCTTAACTCTAGTCATCTGAAGAAGTGGGTTGTGCCCACGAAAGCTCATGATACCATACACATTTTTTGTTAGTCTCTAAGATGCTGCAGAACTATTTGTTGTTTAAGTTTTTTCAGTTACAAACTAACATGGCTACCCCTCTGAGACTTCTGTATATTATTGATACCCTTGCATATTATACCATAGTGACTGGCATTCTATAAATAGTTAGATTAGATCAGTTTAACCTTTTTCATACCAGCATCTCCAATGGCCCCCTGACTCCCTTCCATTACAATATGGAAAATGTGGTTGTAAACTACTGACTCCTTAGGGTAAAAATCCATGTCCTAATTCAGTTCTGGTTAGAAGCATTTGGAGAAAACTGCTACTGGATGGACAAACATTCTTTGGGAGCCAAAGTGAGCCAGGAAAAGTCTTCTCTGAGCTCAAGTATATGACTCAACCTTTTGCCACGAGGAAGCTGCCAAACTTTGGTGTGGCAAAGGGGATAAGGAGATGATGATACTATTTCTTCAAATAAAACAGGGAAGAGGTTATGCACTGAACTTCCCTTTTATAAGTTTTTGACTTTTACAACTCATTCAAATACTTTTCTCCATTCTCAAACTCAATAACTAGAGGGTCACCAAATGAAATTGATAGGCAGCAGGTTTAAAACAAAAGGAAGTATGCAACACACAGTCAACCTGTGAAACTCCTTGCCAGAGGACGCTGTGAAGACTGGAATCACTATTCAAAAAAGAACTAGATAAATTCATGGCTATTAGCCAGGATGGGTAGGAATGGTGTCCCTAGCCACTGTTTGTCAGAAGCTGGAAATGGGTGACAGCCTGGAGAGGGATCCCTTGATGATCACCTGTTCTGTTTATTCCCTTTGAGGCATTGGTATTGGCCCCTGTAGGAGGACAGGATACTGGGCTAGATGGACCTTTGGTCTGATACAGTATGGCTGTTCTTATGTTCCACCAGCATTCTCTGTGCTACACACTATTCCCAGCAAATTAAACAAGGCATCCAGCTGGCTTTAGGTGCAAAAAGCTGGATGCAAGTGACAATGCCACTGTGTTTCCTGTCATAGATCAGGCAGCATCCATGCCAATACAGCTGCAAGAAATGACGGCTGTAGAGCTTTGAAGATCTATTTCTTGTCTTGTGGCATGTCCTGTAAAAGAACAGAGAAAGGGGCTACTCGTGTGTAGTTCCTTTCCACTCATAGTGGACAAATGTTAAAAGGCAAACAGAAGACATTTCTGTAACTCTGTCCTTTAGTAATCTTCAAATGGGTCAGCGTTTTCCCAAGCCTGTTGACAAAAGGGGCAACCAGCTCGAGGCTTGGTGATTGAAAAGTGTCCGTGGCTCCTGGAGACTGCCACAGCTACTGGTGCAGCAGCAGTGCCCGGAGCTCTGGGCCCTTTAAATCACCACTGGAGCTCCATGCTCCAGGCAGCCCTCAGGGCTGGGAGGGACATACCACGGTCCAAGCAGCGCTGAGAGCTGGCTGCCCCTGGGCCCACGCTTTCTGCCTGAGGCCTGTCCCTTGTTGTGCAGAGCTGCCCCCACTCCGACCCTTGCAGAGGTGCCTGGCAAGGCTGTTGGCTCCCCTGTGCATACCCACAGGTAATTGTGGTAGTTGATACATAATTGTGTGTGTTGGCTTGATTCCAGGAGAGAGGCGGCTATACAGCAGCTTCATAGCACAAAGAAAGGTGGTGAATTGGGAGAGTCATCAGGATCGCCTTTCTGCCTAACTGTATGGAACAGTGCAGGGAGCATACACTGTAATTATATTAACTTCCCTTTGAAGCAAACCTGGAGGGCAAATGGCAACTACAAAAGAACACTGGTTGCCTGGATTCAGGCATATGATGAATTCCAAACTGCTGTTTTGTGCCATCACATTTCATGGCCACAGAATGACAGAGTCCAGAGGATCTTGACCAAAATGAAGGGGGTAGTTCATACTTCTTGGGTCCATTGATTCAAGTCTGTAGATCCAGGCAGGTATCATTACACTAATACAGGTTCAGTTCACATTTTTACATTTGTCTCTGCAACCAGAATGATTAAAGACACTTTTTAAAAGTGAAAAGATTAAGAGGAGGAGAAGTTGGAAGGATGAGTGTGATCTTCTGATACTTGTTTGCCTCTATTTCCTATGGAGACTCACTGGTTGAATTCTGGCATCAGTTAAGCGAGTTTGGCCACTGATGTGATCTGGAATGCTCTAACCCTGTAATCTGCTGGATAAAGCCATAAAGGGTTGGCCCACCAGCTCAGGATTACCAGAGTGCTACAGCTGTTAAGTACTCCCCAAGATCACCACTGACACTGGAGGCTTGTGGCCTGCGGAAGGGAGTCTATGGCAGCTCTGTGCCAGCCAGGGAGTCTGTTAGGACATCTGCCACCTTTCTCATCTCTTTATATCATAAGATCAGTGACGCTTGGCTGGAACACCAAGCATTTGATTTTTCTTTAATTAGTTACATTGGCCTTTAACATATAGCGGGGAGATCATTTTTGTCTTTCAAGTCATTCTGTGGTGATGAGTGCATGCAATAAGTATCATGGGGTCAAAGCAGCACACTGCACAAGACTACTTCTCCAACATAAACCCATACGTAGTCTATACCAAACCATTGATACGTACATAGTGCTAAGTGTGCTTCCCAGGTGTCACTGACAGCATACTCTGAAAACCAAGACAATGGAGATGCTCAGGTAAGGTCCATTTCTTCCTCTAATACAGTGTTGATTCCCCACTGAAGGAAACATTTGGTAACAAGACAGGTGGTCAAATACAAAACTGTCATATTTCACAGCCATATATTAGAACTGTTTTAAGTAGACCATCTGAGCAAACATGAATGGTCTTTTAATTCAGGATGGGGCAGCAGCAGCAGAGTATGATTTAAAAATTACCTATTGCATTCTCAAAACATTTCCTAAGAATCCAGTTTCTTTCTTTGGGGCTATCTGTGCCCACATCTCTTCCATCCATGTTCAAAATTTTATGCTGAACCCATCTTGCATGAACAGTTAAAACAATTACCAGTCATTGACACCAAACTCATTTTAATGACAAGGATGCAAATATTGATTTAAATGTGTGAACTCACTGCTTCTCAGAAGCCATTCGCTTTGGGTCCATTTCCAATCACCAGATCCCAGCAGAATTATTTCAAATGCTGAAAGCCCAAAGGTATCAAAACTTTGTTCAGCACTAATACGAAAAGACATCTAAAGCAGAAGAATTACATTCTCATGTAAACTTGGCTTCAGATGCTTGGTTGAGGAAGGGACTGTGAGGACAAGTTCAGCAATGGGCGGAAAATGCCTCTGACACTCAGGTCGAGCCAATTGCTTACCAGTGAACTATAGCAATGAGTTCATTCATTCTTTGTGAGTACTGTACCTTCCCAAAAGTTTCTCAAACTCAATTAGCTTGTAGGTCAGGTTGATAATCAGTGATGTACATATTAGTCTCACACTACTGCCCCTTTTATGTTCCTTTAACATAAGGAATATTATTGTTGCAGGGACTAAAATGTGCTTGGTAAAATGGGGAAATACTGTTATGTTATACTATGAACCTCACCATTCACTGAGACTTTATCTTCATTCTGTAGGAAATAATTCCACTGTACACAGTAAGTAGTAGAAATAGCCTGTCATCCAGAGCTCTCCACCTCATCAACTCACATTCTCAATCCAAATCTCATCTCAGAATGTTTCTTTCCCTCGTGCCTGTCCTGCTGCAAACTTTTCATTTTCATTCTCTGGTCTTATTCTTGAAAGATGCTGAGTTTTTGCAGCATTTGCTGAAATAAGTACTCTTGCAATAAGATGTCTTCAACATCTCTCATGGTTTAGCCCTATCTCTGTAAAGCATTGCTAAACAGTTGTCCTGAATGATGCTGTGCTAAAGAAAGTGGCATTATTCTGTATTGTATGCAAAAATATGTGTGCTTTTTAAACAAGCAAGTTTATTCCTTACCAAATATAAAATGAAGCCATTGTTTGATTAACAGCATTTCAAGGTTTATCAGAACATAAACCTGGTTGGGAATGTTAAGCTGGTTACACATAACTAATGTGACTAAAGGTGGTCACTCACTATGGCTTAAAGATTTAGAAGAATTGCTGCTCCTGTTACAAGGCAAATATACAAAGACCCATTGTGACAAGAGTACAAAATCTCTGTTTATTACCATGGGGCTGACATGCTGAAAGACCCGCTCTGCATGCCAGCACAAAAGCTTTGTTGCTTCAGATTGTTTGTTTATGTAAATTTTAAAAATGGTGCATTTAATTATGCAACTGGAAGACTCTCTAAGCAACAAGCAAAGTCCTGATTGGGTATTTGTGTAGAAAGGGACTGCTGGCAAATCCTAGACAAATCCTAACATTATTACTCTGTTCTGTTCTTGGTTTGCTACAACGCCTTCAGAAGAAGAGAAGCTTATTGAGTATTCGAGGAGGGAGGGAGAACAGTGAGAAAGATAATAGGTGTATAGGTTATTTTTTTCTGCAGTGGTAGAATCCTGAGACTTCAGAGGAAGTGAAAAACCCAAAGGAATTAATCAGAGGCTACTGTAATCATGACAGAAGACTTCCCAATTACATCCAGCATACCTGAGTACAATGGGACTGTGCCACCTGAAAAAGCTCAGCTGCAGCTCATTGATATTATTGATGAAATAGCAAAATCTGCTGGGACAGTTCTATGTGAAAATTCAGAAACCAGTCCTGAAGCTTCACTTAAAAAGGAAAATCAAGAGGCTAACAAGCATTCAGAGGAGGACAACACAATATGTGGTGCTCTCGATGGGGAGAAGCGATGCAAAGGTAAAGTACAATGTTGCCTCTTTTCAATTCATTTGGGGAAAAAACCCAATCCTTTATTTTTTGTATAGCATAGTGAAAAATAGAATGTAATTTACATGTTATCAGAAACTCTACACACACAAATAGACATAAACCATGATAAAAGGTGATTCACAATCAGATATAAATTTGAGCTAACAAGGAATGGAAACAATAAGACAGCTAAAGACAGCTAATAATTTCTCTACAGTATTGCTACAAGCATGGCAGGAAGAAGTAAAGAGTTCAAGAGATCAGCAGTTTTTAGTTCCCACATATCATCTACAGGTGACAGTATGTAACTATGAAAACTAGTTGTCATCATTATTAACCATCATCATTTGTCACTTTCTCACTATCTTGTTATCTTTTAAAGAAAAACAAGCGGAACACAATGCAACTCTAGAGGAGGGATCAGCTGACATCCCTTCCGAGAACACAAGAACTGATGAAGAGAAATCAGGAGAAGGTAATGAGAAATGCTGTGTAATGTACGGTATTTTGCTGACCATATGAACATAGGAATGGCTTTTGAAGAGAACAATTTTCCACAGGTATTTATTTTTCCAAATAACAAGATAGGAAACACACTTGAATCCTAATTTTGCAATGAGCTGTAAGGCACTCATGATTTATAGCACTGCTTAGAAAAGATCACTGGTACTGAAAGGTACAATGTGCCTGGATTAGTGTATCTGATTATTAGTGTTTAGAGAAGGGATTGCTATAGTTACCTTTCTTTTTCATTTTTAAGACCATCTAATGGTAATTCATTCATTAAGTATCTCCAGCTCTAATCATGCCAGTTTGCAGATAAACAGTAACCACCCCCCTGCATGCATTACAGATCTATTTAGAAAAATACAGAAAAAATAACCCTGAAATATTTTTTCATAATTTAGTTATATGAACACAGATAATTATAATATGGAACTTTCAGGGATAGGTGCAGACAAGCTGTATAAAAACTACCAAATATGGAATCCTCAGATTCTGAGGATAATGACACTTGATTTGATTAAAAAAAGGCAAAATACATAACCATTTAACAGTGGCTATATTATATTTCATAGACACTACATACGTTTTGAGAAAGTAAACCATGACAGAGGCATTTCCTCCTTAAGGTGACATCTATATTCCAACTGTGTTGCCTTACAAGTGTACAATAAAACCTATTAAGTAATCTTTCACAGACTTTCTCCTCCCCAGAACCTATCTATAAGCACTTTATCTCCAAATTGCAGGCAGCTTTTTAGTACCTAACCAATTTAGCCTAATTAATACTTAGGACCCCAGGGGCACAATGCTGAATAGATCATTTATTGCAACATTAAAGCATCATTTGAAATAGGGATGTGCCAAACAGGACAACTCGGAGATAACCATCTAAATGTAGCCTGCCACCTTTGAATGGGAGAAGCAAGTATAGACTATGTCTTGGGGGAATATACAAACTACCTGTGATCAATCCAGCTAGTGACTGGATGTCACTGTTGTGAGATAGTTGGAAAAGTGGGCATGGGTCTGTTCTGCCTCCCTTATTGTATATTTAATTCCAAGCCTTACTAATATCCTGGTTCCTACAAGGACCTGATTCTCCTCTCATTGAAATCAATTGCAAAAAGCCAATAGCATTCAGGAGGAATAGGACTGGGCCTTAAATGAGCCATCTGTAGAACATCTACCCCAGGTGCACTGGATCTTCTAATAGCTCTTTCTTAAAGCAAAGACACTTTCAGCAAGCTGTTAAATTCCTCCTCTTCCCCCATCCACCCTTCCTCTTTCCTCATTTGTTTCCAAGATCCTTAGTTATTTTCATTGCAGCCATAGAGACCTCCTTTAGGTCTGTCTTCATTCTTCTGGCATATTGGTATTTTCTATTTCCATGGTTGCTGCATGTCTGGGTTTTTTTAATAATGGAAAGATTATTTTTCTGTTTGGTTTAATGCCCACAGCAGATCTGGACTTCCTTTTTTTTGTGGGAGGGACATTTCTGAGTAAGATATCTGGAGGACCTAACCGGTGGTATTATTGGTGATATTATTTATTATTTATATTGAAGTAATACCTGAAAGTCCCAGCTGCAGCAAGAGTCCCAGTAAGCTAGATACTATATAAATGCCTGGTGAGGGACAGCCTGCCCTCAAGATCCTCCATCTAAGAAGAAGTGGAAAGAGAAAAAGAGGTACAGAAATGGGAAGTGATTTGCACAAATTCACACATAAGGTCAGCAGTGGAACTGGAAATTGAAAGTGGATCTCCTGACTTCCAGTCAATGCCTCCAATGAGGGCTACCCCCCAGGACGCTGAAATTGAGTTTCAGATCTCTCATTTCAATTGAGAGGCTGGGAATTTTGAGAGGGAAAGGAACATCATAGCTTCAACATCCCATTCTTAATTTGCTGAGCTTTCAGTTTCCTGTGACATCACCAGTCCAGATCCTCCACAAATCTTGCCAAAGTCTCTGGAGAAACAAGACAACTGGGAGAGAAGTGGCATTAATACTCATAGAATCATAGTGCACTATAACTGGAAGGGACCTTGAGAGGTCATCAAGTCCAGTCCCCTGCCCTCATGGCAGGACTGAGTACTGTCTAGATCATCCTTGATAGATGTTTTTTTAACCCGCTCTTAAATATTTCCAGAGATGGAGATTCCACAACCTCTCTCAGCAACTTATTCCAGTGTTAACCACCCTGACAGTTAGGAAGTTTTTCCTAATGTCCAACCTAAACCTCCCTTCCTGCAGTTTAAGCCAATTGCTTCTTGTCCTATCCTCAGAAGCTAAGGAGAACAATTTTTCTCCCTCTTCCTTGTGATGTTCTTTTAGATACCTGAAAACTGCTATCATGTCCCCTCTTAGTCTTCTGCTTTCCAAACTAAAAAAGCCAAATTCTTTCAGTCTTCCTTCATAGGTCACCTTCTCTAGACCTTTAATCATTCTTGTTGCACTTCTCTGGAGCTTCTCCAACTTCTCCATATCTTTCTTGAAATGTGGTGCCCAGAGCTGGACACAATACTCCAACTGAGGCCTAACCAGTGCAAAGTAAAGCGGAAGAATGACTTCTCGTGTCTTGCTCACAACACACCTGTTAATGCATCCCAGAATCATGTTTGCTTTTTTAGCAACAGCATCACACTGTTGATTAATGTTTAATTTATGGTCCACTATGACCCCTAGGTCCCTTTCTGTAGTACTACTTCCTAAACAGTCGCTTCCCATTCTGTATGTGTGAGAATGATTGTTCCTTCTTAAGTGGAGTATTTGGCGTTTGTCCTTATTAAAGTTTATCCTGTTTACCTCAGACCATGTCTCCAGTTTGTCCAGATGATTTTGAATTTTGATCCTATCCTCCAAAGCAGTTGCAACCCCTCCCAGCTTCGTATCATCTGCAAACTTAATACGCATATTCTCTATGCCAATATCTAAATCGTTGATGAAGATATTGAACAGATCCTATCCCCAAACTGGTTGCTGCAAAACCCCACACGTTATATCCTGTTGGTATGACTGTGAACCACTGATAACTACTGTCTGAGAACAATTATTCAGCCAGGTAGGCACCCAACTTACAGTAGCCCAATCTATGTTGTATTTCCCTAGTTGTACTCAGATCAGTTCTCTAGTCTGTCACACTGAAATAGCACAGTACAGACAGGAGAGTACTTAATGTCTGTCTAGTAAGTGATTCAGGAAAGAGGTCTTTGCCCGACATCACCAACCAGATCTGAAGAGAACTTAGTGTGTGATCTGTAGCACAAGTAGAAAATGTTAGGCCCCTTTCTGAGTAAAGAGTGTGAGCAGCCTTTCCCTGATCTGTCTGGTCCTCACCCCATAGATGATGGGGTTTAGCATGGGGGGCACCAAGAGGTACACATTGGCAATGAGAACTTCGAAATGCAGGGCCAAATTGTGGCCAAGCCTGTGCGTGAGGAAGGAGAAGAGACCCGGGATGTAAAAGACTAATATGACACAGAGGTGGGAGCCACACGTCCCAAACGTCTTGAGCTGAGTCTCCTTTGCAGACATCTAACTTTTCTAAGTAATTTTTATCTTGTTCTTTTTTTATTTTATCTTCTAAACCTACCCCCTTTCCACTAGCATTCACTATGTTAGGCATTCCTTCGTCATCGGACTTCTTGGAAGTCATTAAGCACCTCTGCCATTTCCAAGTTTCCTTTTACTGTTTCTCCCTCCTCACTGAGCAGTGGGCCTACCCTGTCCTTGATTTTCCTCTTGCTTCTAATATATTTATAGAATATCTTCTTGTTTCCCTTTGTATCTGTAGCTAGTTTGAGCTTGTTTTGTGCCTTTGCCTTTCTAATCTTGCCCCTGCATTCCTGTATTGTTTGCTTATTCTCATCCTTTGTAATTTGTCCTAGTTTCCACTTTTTATATGACTCCTTTTTTTTACTTTTAGATCATGCGAGATCTCCTGGTTAAGCGAAGGCAGTCTTTTGCCATACTTTCTATCTTTCCTACGCAGCGGAATAGCTTGCTTTTGGGCCCTTAATAATGTCTCTTTGAAAAACTGCCAACTCTCTTCAGTTGTTTTTCCCCTTAGTCTTGCTTCCCATGGGACCTTACCTACCAGCTCTCTAAGCTTACCAAAATCTGCCTTCCTGAGATTATGAGATCACGGGGTGAGGCCATCTTTCAACACTGAATGGCATAAACACAATGATGGTATTCACTGTACAGTTCCGCTTTATTTCAGTTTCAAACCCACTAGGCTCATCTACTAGTGTCCCACTCAAAGACAGCCTAGCAAAGGCAATTCAGAAATGATATATTTTCCAGTACTCCCAACATTTAAAGGGCAATGACAGTGGGGAAATCATCAGTCCCCATAGATCCTTTCTGTGAAAATTATTCCCCTTCACTAGACTGTGAGGGCATTCAATAGAAAAATAACTCAGACTAACCTCTTCTTTATTTTACCTTCCCTGTCTCTGAAATTCTTTCAGAGATTCCTGGTTCACTGATAATACCTCAGAATTTAACAGTCTGGAACCTCGTAATACTATGGCTTGCACACCTTTTAATGAGATTCCTGGTATTTGTGATGCCAGATATTGTTACATCTTCTTTGAACCATAAAGAGGAAAAACAGTGGGTAGCATGAAAATATCAACATTTAGTAATAGATTGATACAATTACCACATAATTTCCTATTCTAATTATAGAGGGAAAATGTGATACTGTACCTCAGATACCACCATGTGGTAATTGTTAGCAATTGTTGCTCACTTTTTAATTGTGGCCACTGGAGCAAGAAGATTTCACAGAAGGGGAAAAAAGGTAATGTTAATTAAACCCTATTTCTTTACTGAATGCTTTTCAAAACCGGTTTATTGGAAGCATTCAGCACACAGAAACCAATGCTTTACTTGAGGCTTAATTTTAGTTTTGTCTCACATTTAATGAATGAATGAAAGATAGTCTGAATCTTAAGTGAACAGCT